CCTGATACATTTAATAACACATGCACAGAACTCACAGGGTACAGCAAGGGGGCCTCTGTCCCCAGCCCCAACTATCCACTCCCTTGGATCTCCTCTTGGCAGTGTTTGAATACACCTGCAAGATAGCCTTCTGAACACATGCATACATTGTAACATGTGTTAAAGATGAACATTGCCTACACAGCTCCGTGTGTTCCTTATCCTGCACTTGTGTAATCTAGAGACTGTAAGCATATCTGGCTCTGTGTGTGTGTGTGTGTGTGTGTGTGTGTGTGTGTGTGTGTATGTCAGTCCTGGTGCCTGACCTTAGGGCCAGGGCACTGTCACTGAGCTTTTTTGCTCAAGGCTAGTACTCTACCACTTGAGTCACAGCGCCACTTCCAGCTTTCTGGTGATTAATTGGTGATGACTCTCATAGACTTTCCTGCCTAGGCTGGCTTTGAACTTCTGTCCTTAGATTTCAGCTTTCCGAGTAACTTAGAATCACAGGTGTGAGCTACTGGCACCTGGTTAACATTGTCTGTACTACCTGGTGGCCAAACAACCTTGTCCAATTTGGGTAAAGACAGCTGCCTGGATTGGCATTTGGCAGGGACTGTGATGGGAATTTACTGTTCCTGACCCTAAGTAGCTGCTGAAGAGTGCAGCAGTGCTGGACAGCTGTGGAGGTTCTAGAGTTCTACCTTAGAGATCAGTTTGTGACCAGTTTTTATATCATAAAAATTCGCTATCAAATATTGAACAAAAACACTATTTCTACAGAAGATCATACTGGTTTTCAACCTGATTATCATTGTGAAGAATTGGGCCACAGTTTCCAGGATGTGAATGGCGGGGAGCGTCTCCTGTCTCCTGGAGGAGAGCTTCCTGAAGTCGCAAAGGTTCTAAGCTGATTATCAATCTGTGGTGTTTTAGCCATGTTTTTGCCTCCCTTGGGTTAAGAATTGCTGGATTCTGGAGTAGAAGGCTGTTTAACTCTGTGTGAATGGCTAGGCCTGCGGGTGTGCCAGTCTGTGCTCTGCAAATCCCTCTTCAGGTTTCAGTCATTCTCCAGCCTTGCCTATCTGTGACTCAGGCACCCCTTTCCACGTGCCCTATTCTAGTGGATGTGCACAGTCAGCTGTGGATTTACTTTGAAACTTCTCTAGTGGGCTATGATAGCCAACAATGCCCATTTACCATCTATATAGCTGCTTTTATTTTTATTTTTTGGAGGTACTGGGGTTTTAACTCAGGCCTTCAAGTGCTACAAACTGGTTATTTTGAGACCGGGTTCACTTCTTGGCCAGGTCTCCAATGCTCCTGCTTCCTCCAAGTAGCTGGTAAGCACCAGGACACCCGGTGGTTTGTTGATATGTGGTCTTTCAAACTTTTTACCTAGGTAGGTCTTGAGCTGTGATCCTTCTCCACCTTTTGAGTAGCTAGGATTTGTCTTTGGTGAATTATGGGGCCTTTGCTTACCTTGTTCATACAATATTATACGTTTTGTTTTTCCTTAAACTTTCCCCATGATCTCAGTTGTTGTGACTATGTACCATCCCTGAAAACGCTATTACCTTTTAAAATGCTACACTTACTGTGTTCTTAAAAGATGGTGTTTCCTGTGCTGCTCCGGCTGGTCTTGAATGAATGAGGTGAAATGGTCCTCCCACCCCACCTCTCTAGGAGCGGGAGTGCAGGTTAAAAGTCACACCTTTGAGTGCAGTTTCACCTCCCAGGTGCCACTCACAGGTTATGTGAGCGTGGAGATTACCTTGTTTGGCTGTTGGCTGTGTGTGCAGCTTCTGTGGTGGAGCACACCATTGCGTGTGTGCATCTGCCCTGTGCTGTCACTGAGGGCACTAGGACCTAACTACTTGACATCAGTATTGTTGAATTAACTTATTATCTATTTGATCTTCCCAACTACTCAACGAGAAAGGCCATGCTAGCCTTGAATGGGATATGGGCATAGATGCTGAGGGGTGGGGTGACTTGCCTCTGGTGATATAACGTGTTTGCTAGCACTATTTACTGATGTAAAACTTTAAGACAGGTCTCGCTGTGTGGCCCTGGGTAGCCTCACACTCTTGACCCTCCAGCTTTCAGCTTCCTGAGTCTAGGTGCTGGAATCACAAGCATGCACTTCCACTACCGCCCCCGCCCCCCCCCCTCCCCCGCCCAGTCCTGGGGCTTCAATTCTGGGCCTGGCCACTGTCCCTGAGTTTCTTTTGCTCAAGGCTAGTGCTCTACCTCTTGAGCCACAGCACCACATCTGGCTTTTTTTTTTTTTGAATAGTTTATTGTAAATAAGAGTCTCATAGACTTTCATGCCCAGGCTGGCTTTGAGCTGTGATCTGTAAATCTCAGCCTCAAGTAGCTAGGATTATAGATGTGAACCACTGGCTCCCAGCTACAAGTGTGCACTTTTAGTTTGATTTTTGGATAGTTTTTCCTATGAGTCTGCTCTCTGAAGAAACTAGCTATATGCTCCTATGCAAATATTCAGAAGGCTTTTCAGGGGATTTGCAGGCAAGGGCTGGTATATATACAGTATTTATGTAATAAAATGAGTTTAATTACAGCATTAGGTAATGCACTATCATATGACTAACTCAGTCATACAAACACAAAGCTCAGTGCACAATAATCATAAGACAGCAATATAGTACCGTGAACATACAATATACAGTACACATACACTCTGTATTTCTATAGGAATGGAAATAAAGTGCTGGAAAGAAGAAAAAATTACAAAGTTTTACAAAAAATATTAACTAAAATCTTATTGAGATGAAACTTCACTGAATCTGTGAATGTTTTGTGCCAGTCTTGGAGCTTTTGAACTCAGGGTCTATGGACTGTCCCTGAGCTTTGGTGCTCAAGGCTGGCTAGCATTTACCAGTTTAGCCACAGCTCCACTTCCAGCTTTTCTTGGTAGTTCATAGAAGTCTCATGGACTTTCTTGCCTGGTTTGGCTTAGAACCACCATGCTCACTTACATCTCAGCCTCCTGAGACACTAGGATTATAGGCATGAGTTACTGGTACTTAACCATGTGGTTTTTGCCTTGCCTTTCCCCTTGAAAACCAGGATGGTGTGGGAACATGTTCTGCAAAAGGGGAAAATGTCACAATGAGGATGGCATACTGTGATACAGTAGCTCTACCCTGGTGGTTTGGCTTTTGTAAACTGCACAGAAACACTGTTTTAGCTTTGTCTGCCTGGCTTTTAGCCTCGTGTTTATGTTTTAGAGTAAGGGAATAAGTGCATTTGTGAGATGTTTAAATGTGAGGGTGTGTTAAATGTGGGACATTTTTCTGTATAATTGAAAACTTTTTCCAGGGCAGAATCCCATTCAGCAATTTTGGCTGTAGTGTGGGGGCAATCAGTCTACCGTTGGTGTCTTGGGCAGACTCTCTTTGCTAAATCTGAGGCCAGGCTTTGCCACCTCCTCCAGGTCTTTTTTGGTGGTTTCCATTGCTTGCTTTTCTTTCTTTCTTTTTTTTTTTTTGGTCCAGTCGTAGGGCCTGAACTCTGGGCCTGGGTGTTGTCCCTCAGCACTTCAGCTCAAGGCTAGCACTCTACCGCTTGAGCTACAGCACCACTTCCAGCTTTTTTTCTTTTTGCTTATGTGGTGCTGAGGAATGGAACACAGGGCCTCATGCATGCAAGGCAAGCACTCTACCACTGAGCCACCTTCCCAGCCCCGTTTCCATTGCTTTCTTGGCCAAAATTTCCATATCTTCTTCCTTCATAGCATCAAAACCCCCTTCATTTATTTGCTGTGGAATATGCATTATGTCTTTCCATAATACCTTCAAGGCCTTTGGAATTCTTCACCATAGTCTGACCAAGTGTTTTTCCAAGCTTGTTTGATGTTGTTCCAACACTATCAATAACATCGCATACTGTGACCGATCTTAGTAGTTTCTTGTGGTGTTTCTTATCATCGCTTGAGTCTCACAGGCATTATTGTACAGCTCCCTCATGCAGTGTACCTGGAAAGATTTTGTTATGCAGGGCATATGTCAGGACAGAGGGGCTGGATAAAAATTGAAGTATTTACGGGCACGAAGAGGGGACCGCTACACTGGTATTTCTGGGTTCTTCGTAACAAGGAATTGGAGGCATTATTTCTCCTAAGAACTTTTCAACAATTGGAAGAAAGGGTATAATTCCATCGCTTTTGGTATCCGTGAACAACCTGGTTTAGACTTGTAATTTTCAAAGAAGCAAATATTGTGCAGTGAAACCACAGTATTCCTGAGATCGGCCTCACGGAACGCCGTGATTTCCCCCTACAGGACAGGACAAAACCACCTGGAATATTCTCAGTGCTCCAATTCTGGATGATGCGTTAGTGTAAATGCCAAGCTTATCTCTTCTCACGAGGTTCTGAACACACTTTCTTTTCACCATTTAAAAGCAAAACAGCTTTCCGGAAAGTGGCGCTGTGGCTCAAGTGGTAGGGCGCCAGCCTTGAGCCCTGAGCTCAGGGACGCCGCCCAGGCCGAGTGCAAGCCCGCGGCCGGCAAAACGGCAGCTTCTGGGTTCTCCGGCCTCTGCCCCGGCGGAGGCCCGATCCGGCGGCGGGCTCGGGTCCACCCCGGCGGGCTCGCCGTCCGCTGACCGAGGCCCTGGTCCGCGTTCGGGAAGGCCGGCTACGGCCGCCGGTCGCTTCCAGTCGCGCACTGGAGTGGAAGTGGCATCCCAACGAGTCCGCGAGGCGCCCGGTGGGTCCGTGGGTCCCCGGCCTCCCCCGAGGGCCCGGAGCCGCCGTGGGGCGGGCGCGGCGTGGCTCCCGCGGGCAGGACTCGGAGCCGGCCGGAAGAGGCCGCGGGCGCGGGGTGACGACGTCACTTCCGGCGCCGCGCCCACTTCCGGGTGCGGGCAAGGCCGTGAGCAGTAGCATCTCTGAGGAAGGGAAGCGGGTGAGCGGGCCGGGCGCCGGGCGGCGGAGGCGGGCCCAGGCCGGCCGCCGCGCTCACGCCGCTCTCACGCCGCGCTCTGTGTTGCAGGTGTACCCGGAGCCGCGGACCGAGAGCGAGTGCCTGAGCAACATCCGCGAGTTCCTGCGCGCCTGCGGGGCCTCCCTGCGCCTGGAGGTGGGTGAGCGCCGCGGCCCGGGGCCGGGGACCGGGGTCGGAGCCGGAGGGTGCGGGGGGTGTGGGGTCAAGGGGGCGGGCAGAAGGGGCGGGGTTAGGGGTCAGGTCGGGTCAGGGGAATGGGGGGCGGGGCTGGGGAGGGGGTGGATCAAGGGAATGGGGTGCCGGGGGTGGGGGCGGGGACGGGCCGAGGGGCGGGGCGGGTGAGGGGAGTGGAGATGCCGGGGGTGGGGTCGGGGCTGTGGAGGGGTTAGGTCCGGGGAGCGGGGGGTGTGGGGGTGCCGGGGCTGCGGTCGGGGGAATGGGGGTGCCGGGGGTGGGGGCGGGGACGGGAATGGGGGTGCCGGGGGCGGGGCTGGGCGATCCCGGGTTGCCTTGGGGACCGGAAGGGGGTCGAGGGTCCAGGCATCCCTTTCGCTGATCTTGCTGCCTTTGTGGTTCGCCGCGGCCGCAGGCGTGGCAGACCCGGGGCGGTTGCCCCCGTAGTGGAGCGGCGGGCGTGCGGAACCCCGCGCCGCCTCTGCCCCCTCAGGACCGGTGGTTGCCCGGGCGCGCGCCAGCGAATCTTCATAACCACCGTTGTGGGGGCCTGGGCTCCCGTCCAGTCCTGAGCCGGCTCTGGGGCATTCTCCCGGCTCCTCAGCAGGTGATCTAGTGGCCTGGGTTGAAATGAAGTGGCCGGAAACCCTCCTGGCTCCCTGCCTCCTCTGCCTTTTCCCCCTCGGGCTGGGAACCCTGTGGTTTTACTGGGCCTCTTAGCATGTACATTCGGAAACTCTTAGGAACCGGCGTGTGGCGTTGTAAGATGGAGAGAGAGAGTGAGAGTGAGAGTTTAGTGTGTGTGTTTTCTCCCCCCCCTTCCCATGTTGCATAATGCTTTCTATTATGTGTGGCTCATTGGATCTTCCCATGGTCAGCTCTGGTGGTTTCTTTTATCATTTGTAATTTTTCTAATACCTGGGGTAGTGCTTTACACCAGAAACCTTTTCTAGAAAACTGCTTGCTGAAATGGTTGCAGTCAGTTCTAAACCTTGCCATTTATGTTTGGTACTTTTTTAGCTTAGCATTTCATCTTGATCTTTGTGGTAGGATTTTATTTTCTTCAGACCACCGAGTTTTGTTTGTATGTATTTTTGAAACTTCCATTGCACATTAAGATGATGTGATGTCAGTGTTAAGATGTTTTAAGAAAGTATTTTTATTTTTCCAAAGTTGCTCTTGGTATTTCATATAGCATCTACTTTTTTTTTTTTTTTTTAGCAGTTGTATATTCAGAGGCATTCTGAAGGGAGTCTTTCACTCTTGTGTCCACAGAATCTACATCAGTGCATGGCACAGAGTAGGCCTTGCATAAAATACTTGTGAAAGATCAAGTGAAGTTAGCACAGAGTAGGCTTTGTAAGTATTTTGTATAGATCTGGTGAGTTTGACTTGGTAATGGGCAACAAGTAGTTTTCCCTTGAGACCTATCAGTTGTGACTTATTTTGTGACTTTTCTGTTGTGATTATTTTTAGAGTACCTCCAATCAGATTAAAATGAACACTGTAGAGGCAAAAACTAGTATTCTTTCAAGCTGAGTGTCCTAATTACCTAGGAGATAATAAAAATAAAATAGTAAGAAAACAGCATATGAGAAGACTCCATTTGTTTAGTCACTGAATTTCAGGGAGTATCCCGATAAAGAACCTGTGTATGATATGGCTCCATCTCCGGCTCACAACCAGGGATCAGTGGTATTATACAGTAAGTCCTGTTTCCCACAGCAGAAAGAACTCCTTGGGTATTCTCTCAGTGAGATGGAGGAGACGGGGAAGACATTACATGTGTGAAGTGTGTCCCAGGATTTACACATTCATTAAATTGTGAATGTGAGAGACTGACAGGCAACATTGTAAAATCTTCAATTATCTCTTTAGTATTCTGTAGAGATCCTTTCAGACTGAATCATGTTATTAATACCTTTTTTGGTATATGTATTTTATAGTTTGTTTCCAGTTTAAACACACTCAGTGATTTCCTGAAGGAAAAAGAGAGCATCATGGCTACTGTGTCAGTTGTCAGTTATTTTAATGCACACACTTCTTAATTAGCTGTTGAAAATCAGATATTCCTTTAGGAGTTGTTCTGATTATGAAAGAAGCTTCGTAGGTTATATTTAAAAGAATTTCATGCGGTTAACATTAACTGTTAGAATTTGAGAAACAACTGTAGGCTTTTATTTAGAAGACACTTGCTTTTGTAATTTAAGAATTGGACAGTTTTGTGCTGTAAAGCAATACACACAACTTACATGACCTTTTCAGCTTCTTGGGGGGTAACTTTGCCACCAGCATATCTTTTTTTTTTTTTTTAAATAGATTATCTTCCCATGTGTTTGTATCTTTAATTTCTTTCAGCAGTATTTTGTGTATTCCCCACTCCCTAGTTTTGAGAATTTTGGTATTTTTGATGTTATTGTAAATGTCATTTTCTTCTTTGATCAGTCATTGTTAATGCAGAGAAATACAACTGATGATTGTATTTTGATTTTGTATCCTTTATTATTATTATTCTAAAGGTGATATATGGAGGGATTACAGTTACATGAGTCAGGTAATGAGTACACTTTTTTTTCAAATTCAGTGTCTTCTGTTCCCCCATTCCTAGTCTGCTAAATTTATTTATTTATTTTATTTATTTATTTATTTTTTTGGGTCCGGTTGTGGGGCCTGAACTCTGGGCCTGGGCGCTGTCCCTCAGCTCTTCAGCTCAAGGCTAGCGCTCTACCACTTGAGCCACAGCGCACTTCCGGCTTTTTTCTTTTTGCTTATGTGGTGCTGAGGAATCGAATCCAAGGCCTCATGCATGCAAGGCAAGCGCTCTACCACTGAGCCACCTTCCCAGCCCTGCTAAATTTATTAGTTGTATTTTTTTTCATGAATAGACAACCATGTGTGTGTGTGTGTGTGTGTATGTGTGTATGCACACGTTTGATCATGTCATCTGCAAAGCCAGGTAATTTTACTTTTTCCTTTCCAATTTAGATGACTTTGACTTATTTTTCTTATTTAATTGCTCTGATTGGTACTTGTAATACTATGTTCAATAAATACAGTGAGAATGATGCCATTGTTTGTTCCTGGTATTCCAGTAAAACTTTTAGTTTTTTTGACCCCTAACTGTGCTGTAGCTTTGTGCTTAGCTATATGGCTCTTACATTGAGGTAGCAACGCTCTTTCTTTAAAACCGTTTTGTTTTTGTCATTAGGACAGGAAACCTGAGTACTGGGTTGCCAGTTTCCTTCTATGTGTAGCTCACAGAACAACCAAAATCTTAGTAATGGTAATGATGATAATAATGATGAGGATGTGTTAGGAATCTTATTTAAGGAAAAGTGAGTTAGAGAGAGGCAAGCCAGACCTGTCATAGGACATTGCTTGTGTTTTGTCAGGTAAAATAGCCATAGAGATGCAGAATAATTCCTCTCCTTTTCCTTCCCCTCTCTGTACCAGTTTTAAGGCTTACACTCAAGTCCTGAGCACTTTCGTGTTTTGTTTTGTGGTTTTTTTTTTTTTTTGGCCAAGGGTAGTGTACTACCACTTGGGCCACAGCTCCACTTTAGGCTTTTTGGTGAATAATTGGAGATAAGAGTCTTAGGGGAGTTTTCTGCCTGGGCTGTCAATGACTCTCAGATCTCAGCTTCCTGAGTAGCTAGGATTACAGGTGTGAGTCACGAATGCCTGGATAGAATAATTTGTTTTTCAGTGTTTTTGCTGCATTACTCAAGTGTTGGCAATTTATATATGATGTTTGTAAACAAGCAAATGTTGGATGTGTATGCACGTTAACTTATATATTCAAATACAGTACATAAGCTGCCAAGATTTTCTCACCCAGTACATTATCTAAATAAGTATCTGGAAGGAATTGAAGCAGAGATACCTTCCTAGGGAAAGAACTATTTGTTAACACCAGTACACCTGTGATGTGTTTACAAGTTTGTATTTTAAGATCTAAGTTTAGGACAAATGAATGAGTCCATTTTTCAAATGGCCCACTATTAAGCTAGCCCATATTAATAACTTGTAGCTTGAAGGATGTTATCAACAAAATGATTGTTATAAGCTTATAAGAAAAGCATCTACTGTTTTAAATTTTTTATATTTGCACATACTGGGTAATAATTATAATGTACTTAGCTTTTTAGTTACAAATTTGAAACATGGACTTTAGCATTCATATGGTAAAGGTGGATATTTAAGTTTGGATTTTTCAGTCTGAAGTCCAGATTGTAATTATGAAGTGGGAGCCATGCTTGACTTGTAAGTTTTCCTAGCATAGTCCTCTCTACCCAGATAGGGCCCGTCTTGTGGGATGGAGAAGGGACTTGGATGACTGTACGAGGGAATCTTGACAGGTAGTTCATTGCCAAGGCTTTGTGGCTGAAGAGCTGATGATGGACTTGTGCAGTGTGGCCACATAGCTCTGGAGAGGAAAGTAATGGGTTTGGATGGCACTGTTGTTGTGCCTGCCAATAAGAAATTAAGGGAATCTGTCAGCCAAAGCAAAACATCCCTTCATTCTCCATTCTAATTCTAGTGCAGCTACATGTGCCCTGGTTGGAAAGGTAGCCATAATTCCATTGATCTTCCCATCTGTTTGGCATACAAGCTAACCATGAAATTATTCGCTAGGTCTGTGTGTGCACGTGTGCGTGCATGTACACATATATGTACTGGCTCTAGGGCTTGAACTCAGAACCTCATGTGCTCTCTTTGACTGTGCCAGCTCACAGCTGGTACTCTACCAACTGTACCACACCTCTAGTGAGTCTTTTTTTTGGTTACTTGGAGATAGAATCTTGTCTATTTTTCTGCCCAGGCTGGCTTGGAACTATGTTCTTCATAAGTAGCTAGGATTACAGGTGTGAGCCATTGGTGTCTCACTTTGCTAGCTTCATATATTTATTTAACTTCTCTGGAGAAATAAAAACCATCCAAAGGCTCAGGTTTAGAATGGA